TCCTCCCCATCAAAAGATCCTTGACCCCAAGGATCAAAGGTTGGAAATTGGTTAATGATGTGATAGAAGTCTTCCCATGTTGCAGCTTCTTTTGGCAAATTTGCCCATTGTACAAGAATTTGGGACACAGGTTGATTTTTTCTCATCACAAGACGCTTATTAAGGACAGCAATTGGTCGAACCAGCAGCTCACCCTCTTGGCCAATCAAAGGTGGCTCTAGTTGAGCCACTGCACTGCCTCCCACCTTCTTTTTTAGCTGAGAAATGTGGAAGACTGGATGGATGAGGGCAGTGGATGGCAATGCCAATTTGTAGGCCATAGTTCCTATCTTTTCTATCACCTGATAGGGGCCATAATATTTAGATGTAAGTTTGATGTTGGTCCTTACGGCCACCGTAACCTGCCTGTAGGGTTGTACTTTAAGATACACCCAATCCCCTATTTCCAGGCTTCTCTCACTCCTACCCTTATCAGCCTGCAACTTCATTCTTTCCTGAGCTCTTCTAAGGTTATCTTTGAGTACTGCCAACATTGATTCTCTTTCAGATAACCAATCCCCATCTCCTCTCCCTTGACTTGGATTTAAGGCTAACATAGGTGGGCTATAACCATAGAGTGCCTGAAAGGGAGTGCACTTCAAAGAAGAATGGAAGTTTGTATTATACCAGTATTCTGCCAAATATAACCACTTAGCCCAAGCCTTAGGTTTGCTGAATACCATGCATCTTAAGTAGGTCTCCAAGCACCTATTTACCCTTTCAGTTTGGCCATCTGATTGAGGGTGGTAGGCTGTGGACATGCTCAGTTGGACCTGTAGTTGTTTGAATGTAGCCTGCCAGAATTTGCTCAGAAATACTGAATCCCTATCAGTTACAATATCCTCAGGTAAGCCATGTAATTTGTAAATGTTTTCCATGAAAGTCATGGCCACTATTTCAGCAGTATATGGGTGAGCCAATGTAATGAAGTGACTGTACTTAGTAAGCCTGTCCACAATCACCAGAATCACCTCCTTCCCTTGGGATTTTGGCAATCCCTCAATAAAATCCATAGATATGCTTCTCCAGGCTTGTTTAGGAATAGCCAATGGTTGTAATAAGCCAGGAGGAGCCACAGTCTCAGGCTTGCATCTTTGGCAAGTGTCACAACCTTCCACCAATTCCTTGACTGTCCTCTTCAATTTTTGCCAATAGAATAGAGCCCTTAATCTTTGATATGTGCCTTGCTGGCCAGAGTGCCCTCCAAGAGGGGAATTATGCAACTGAGATACTAGCTTGGATCTTAATTCCCCCTTAGTACCAATATAAAGCCTCTGCTTGAATCTGATCAAGCCATCCTCAATAGTGTTCTTAGGATCAGTTCCAGGGGTGATCAAGGCTGCTGTTAATTTGTTTTGGGCCCACTCATCACCATCATAGCTGTCAAACACCTCTTCCATCCACTGAGGTCTAATTGTGAACACTGAATTAAGCATGGGTTTGATGCTGTTGACTTCCCCTTCTTGATCAGTTTCTCTTCTGGACAAGGCATCTGCAACACAATTTTCAATGCCTTTCTTATACTGAATAGTATAGTGTAGTCCCAAGAGTTTAGCTAGTCCTCTTTGTTGAGTAACAGTGGTGATCTTTTGATCTAATAGAAATTTAAGACTATGGTGGTCAGTCTTGATAATGAAATGTCTGCCCAATAAGTATGGTTTCCATTTCTCCACTGCATTAATGATTGACATATATTCTTTCTCATATATGGATAACCCCATGTGCTTTTCTCCAAATGCTTTGCTGAAATATGCCACTGGTTTACCTTCTTGGATTAGGACTGCCCCCATCCCCTTACTACATGCATCAGCTTCAATTATAAAGGGTTTTTGGAAATCAGGCAGGGCCAACACTGGGGCTGAGCATAAGGCTTGTTTAAGTCTCTCAAAGGCACAATCAGCTTCTTCAGTCCAGTGGTAAGAGTTCTTTTTCAACATATTTGTCAGGGGCCTACTAATCACCCCATATGACTTGATGAATCTTCTGTAGTACCCAGTCAAGCCTAGGAACCCTCTCAGTCCCTTGATAGAAACAGGCCTTGGCCATTCTGCAACAGCCTTAAGCTTGGAAGGATCTGTGTGCAGTCCTTGTTCTGATATAACATGCCCCAAATACTCTACTTCTTTCCTTGAAAAGGAGCATTTTCTAAGCTTAGCTAGCAGTTTGTGTTCCCTCATCAGACTCAACACTTCTCTTAGATTGTGCCAGTGCTCATTCGGTCCTGAACTGTAAACCAAGATATCATAAAAAAAAAAAACTAAGACAAACTTTCTCAGTAATGGTTTGAATATGTGGTTCATTAGGGCTTGAAATGTGGCTGGGGCATTGGTAAGGCCAAAGGGCATGACCCTAAACTCATACAAGCCCTGGTGAGTCTTAAAAGCAGTTTTGTGTTCTTATCCCTCCTTCATCCTCACCTGATGATATCCTGCCCTCAGATCCAATTTAGAGAAGTATTTAGAGCCTGCCAACTCAGAAAAAAGATCCTCTACTACTGGAACAGGATATTTGTTCTTCACAGTGATGTTATTTAAAGCTCTATAATCAACACAAAATCTCCAAGTTCCATCCTTCTTGGGCACCAGTAAGACAGGAGATGAGAATGATGACACACTCTCAGTAATCACCCCAGCTTCTAGCATTTCTTCCACCATCTTTTCTATTACATTCTTTTGGTCAAAAGAATATCTGTATGGTTTAATGTTTACTGGCTGTGCTCCTGGAATCAAGGGAATTGCATGGTCATAGGCCCTTTTTGGGGGTAATATCTGAGGCTCATCAAACAACTCACTGAACTCTTCCAGTATTGTAGTTAGCTCTGTGAATTCTGTTTGAACCTCCACCTTATAGCATGTACTGGATCTGCATTCAGCTTCTTTTCTGCTGATCCCTTCACACTGCACAAGGAATCCTTGTACACCATAATTTTCCACTTCTTAAGGTCCCTTTTTGTTGCTTCTTGCAAGTTATGTGGCCTCCTGATTAATCCTTTCAGCAACACTCTCTTCCCCTCCTTGTGGAATGATATACCTAGAGGCCTAGTATGTAATTGGATAGGAGCAAACTGATCTATCCAGTCCATTCCAAGGACCACGTCACATCCTCCCAGCTTTAACACTCTGAAATCTTTTTCAAAATCTTCCTTCTGAATCTGCCATCTCAGTTTCTTACAAATGGTATCACATCTCATTTGCTCTCCATTAGCTACTGTCACATTGAGGACCCGAGTTCTTTCTGGTTCTATCCTTAGCTGAGTGAGGAGTTTGGGATCTAGGAAGCTATGTGTACTTCCACTATCCACAAGGATGACCACTGCTTGTTTGTGGATGGATCCCAATAGCTTGATGGTGTTCATTCATTCCCCTCCCATCATGGCATAAAGTGAAACCTCAGCTTGTTCCTGTGTTCCCATAGGTCCTTGTTCCTGACCTTCTGTCACCAATTCCTCAGGGGCATCATGAAATTCTCCCTCCTCAATGGTATGGAGAGTGGAATTCTTGCACCTATGGCCATGTTGCCAAGGCTCGAAACATCTAAAGCATTTGTTCTGCTCCCTTAACTGTGTCTTGAACTTAGCTGTTTCAGGAATTTTAGCAGAGGTACTCAGGATATTGGAGGCTGTGGATCCAAGGGAATTTGTGGGTTTAGGGCTAGTAGTGTATGGCTTTTGGTTTGGGATAGTGGTTGTTGGCCTGGTATTGTAGTGGTAGGATGATTTTGGTGGCTCATTGGCTTGTAACCCTTTCTCAAACTGTTTGGCATACCACATGGCATATGCTAGGGTTTTTGGCTGAATGGTTTTCACAAAACATCTGAGGTTTGGTTTGAGCCTGGCAGTGTAAGCTTCTAGGAAATATAGATCAGTGAGTGTGGGGTGTTTCTGGACAAGCTGGCTTCTCAACTCCTCAAACTTATCTGTGAAGTCCAAAACTCCTCCAGTTTGTCTAAGGATAGTGAAATCCTCCATAACTGCTCCACTATCTTCCCCAAAACTTCTACATACTGCCTCAGCAAAATGTGACCACACAAAAGGACCTTCGATTCCAGTCAAATACCCCTCATACCATAGCCCTACTCTACCAATTAGGTTGACATAAAGCACATGCATAACTTCAATTTTAGGGATATGTGACATCAAGAGAAACCTTTCACATCTACTAATCCACAATCGTGGTTGATCATAGTCAAAAGGGGGAAAGTCATACCGATACCTCATCATAGGAGGACCTGGTTCATGCCTCCGGATCATGGCGAACTGCTCTCTTCTGGCCATATTAGATCCTTCCAACTCCCCTTCATCATCCGATCCATCCATCCCAGCCACTGGTGCTGAAGTAGCTGGACCTTTTTCCGCTCTCCTTGGTGGTGCGGCTTGGCCTGGCAGTGAACCGGCTGGAGTGTCTTGCCTGACTCCGTTAACAGAGGATCCGCCTGGAGTAAGTTTCATCAGTGGTGGTTGTGGACGGTTCAATCGTAGCTTTTCCACTATTTCATTCTTCCAATCGCTCATTCTGTTATCCAACTGAGCAACCAGCTTTTCTACTAGCTCCTGAGTCGATTTCTGTTGTGAGTCTACTTGGAGGCTCAGATCGGCGACCACAAGCTCTAATTGGTTCAGTCGTGCCTCCATTTGAGGGCTCTGATACCACTTGCAACGATTCTAGGGTTTGGGAATTTTAGAAGAGAAGAGAATAGGAGAGAAAGATGAGAAGAATTCAGAATTGCATTGAAGTGTTTTCATACATCACAAATCGAACTAACAACTTTTATATCCAACCGCCTAACTACTCCCACCGTCAAACGACGTCGTAGGATAACTTGCCTAACTGCCACTTATTGGAACGGTGTTGTTTTGCTGATAGCCCAACTACTCAACCGTTTCTTTATCATGCGGCATCGTTTCAGCATTCCTGTTCGATTCCTTCTTCATTCCTCTGCTGGGATCATAACAAGAATTCACCATGGTAGGAGGGAAGATATGCAAAGAAAAAAGTCACCGTGGCTCCACCGGAGCTGGCGGCGCAAACCCTCACTACCAGGGCGGAATTCAATTTCACAAGTCCAAAGGTCAGCACATACTGAAAAATCCTATGTTAGTTGACACAATCGTCGAGAAATCTGGCATCAAACCGACCGATGTCATCCTCGAAATCGGTCCAAGTACTGGTAACTTGAATAAGAATCTTCTAGAAGCCGGAAAGTCCGTCATAGCTGTCGAGCTTGACCCTTGTATGGTTCTCGAGTTGCAACGGCGATTTCAAGGAACTCCACCTAGTAAGCTAAATGTAATTTCTCTTATTCAACTGCAAATTCTACTCATTTTGTAACAGTATACTTAAATCATTATGAATGAGAAAGCTATTAATTCATTTTTGTCTATAGTTGGAATGAGGAGATTGTTAATCTACAACAAGCTGTCAATTAGGGACTAGTGGAGTTTAAGTGTTTAACATTTCTCTTGTTAATCATTTCTTATTGTAAATGCCTATACTTTTTGCTTATTCATCTTCTCTCCACAAGTCTCACCAAGAAAGATTTGTTAGGACACTAGTAAACACAGGGGTTATGACAGGAGGCCATCAAGTCTTCTATCTTAGAAAGTTTTTCCTGTTTTGGGGTGTATAAATCTGTGGGATATATTACTACCCAATGAAAACATACGATGTGTTTGGTAAATAGCTGTTAGTTGATTAGGTTAGTGGATTAGGGTAGTTGATATCATTAGTTGATTGGGTTAGTGGGTTTGACTAGTTGATAGCGTTAGTTGATTGTAGAAAGATGTTTGGTATATTAGCTGATAGTTGATCTTGATTATATGTAAAATGATTTTCTCAAAAAGCTTATCGAAAAGTTACTTTGGTGCAATAAGCTGTTACAAAAAGATAATCAGTCAAACATTTATATTGGTTGTTTAACTAAGTCAAACAACTAATAGTGGTAAAACAAGCCAAAATTAGCTGATAAGCTAATTATGTTACCAAACAGGACCTAAAAGATAGGGAATTAAATTATTTCATATGAATAACCATAGTCATTTCACTTTCACTCATGTAGTCCTGTAGTAACAATTTCTTTTTGTGTAAACATTAATATGCTATGCCTTACTTTATTTGAAGCTACTGCCTCCATTTCTGTAAGGTTTATCGGAATGAAATATTTACATTTCAAACAAACCGTGTCTTTGCAGAATGTTTGCCTTTTGCACTGTTATGGTCCAGATTATACAAGGGGATGTTCTCAAGTGTGATCTTCCATACTTTGACATCTGCTTGGCAAATATCCCATACCAAATCTCATCTCCTCTTACTTTCAAATTACTGTCTCATAGGCCACTATTCAGGGCTGCAGTTATTATGTTTCAAAGGGAATTCGCCATGAGGCTTGTTGCTCAGCCCGACGATACTCTTTATTGCCGCCTTTCTGTCAACACTCAACTGTTAGCTCGAGTCTCCCATCTTCTGAAGGTAGGAAGAAACAATTTCAGACCTCCACCCAAGGTTGATTCTTCGGTAGTCAGAATTGAGCCAATGAAGCCGTTTCAAAACCTGAACTTCAAGGAGTGGGATGGTTTAGTTCGAATTTGTTTCAATAGGAAGAATAAAACTATAGGTGCAATTTTTAGACAAAAGGCAGTGCTTTCGTTGCTAGAAAAGAACTACAAAACTCTGCAAGCATTGCAGATACTCGAGAACGGATCCTTGGAGGACACAGACATGTCTTTGGCTGTATTAGGATGAGCTGGAATGACCTTTTTGGTGACATTACTGGGGTTATTAAATATTATGTTTGCCTCTGTGTCATGACTCTTATATCCATGCCCTTGAATTGATGTTTTCTGGGATTAAAAAACTGATAAGAAATACATTGGTCTTCATTTACGCGAATCAAAATATATGCTTCTATAATGTATTGGTCACTTGGTATTTCTCATGAGTCCTCCTTTCGACTATTAGAGCTCAAGCATCTTCACCATGAAAGGATAGAAATAGTGAAGCATTTGTCTAACTTGCAGCAGGCAGGTTAACTAGAGAAATATTTTGATTTCCTTTTTTATGAGAGTTGATGTTCATCTCTGAGAGTGCCTCGTTACTTTGTTCAGTAATGGCTTTAATTGGATATTTGCTTTACAGAACCTAGGATGGTTTACCTCCTTGTAAACAAAATTCATATGTTTTGATGATATTATTATTTATTTTATGGATCTAGTAAAATGTCATTGTTTTCTGCACTATTAATATAACATGGTATCTGTTCTGTGCTTGGATGTAATTATTTAGCTATATGTGTTTATTGTGGGAAATGCTCATTATTTGTGCTCTGAATGTTTTATTAATATCCTCACTACACTTTTGGCCGTTTGGGCACTTGTAGTTTTGGGGATGCAGTTTGATATCATCTTGCTAGATGGCACTTAATCTATCTCAAGTTTTGATAAGATTTCTGATGCATTTTCTTGCTGATTAAAGTTTGTTGGGACAGAGGAGGCAGTACTTTAATTTAGATTACTTGATTCATGAAATGCGGAAAGTTCTGTCTGCTGAATCACATTCTTTCCCCGTCTCCTTTATCTAATTTCTGATTTTCTATCAGGATTGATCCCTGCAGAGTCATCCCATGAATTGAAGATGGAAGTTAAAAACCTAAGGCAGACTCTAAATGAACTCCATATGAAGCACATAACATTGACAGGTGAATTGCAGAGCCATAGAGATGCTGATGCGAAGAATAAGGCCAGAGAATTTCTTGCTGTCTAATAAAGCTGAAAATGCTACCTTGAAGGCAACTGATTTTGGCCTCTCTGTGTTCATTGAGCAAGGTAAATTGCTTATGAATTCACCTCCTCATACTTACTCAATGACATTTGTATCTTAATCTTATAGTTTAACAACTCTCATCCTTGCAAAGGTATGAGTATTTTCTAACCTCCTTTATGCACTACCTATGGTGTCATTTTGGTCTTCTATAGCAGAATTTTAAATATTTTTATATTTATTTCAACAATCTAAACATTGCTTAATTTCAAATAGAGCTCTAAGTCATTAATCATCGCCAATAATACTTATGATAAACTGGTTTATTCTACTCTAATAGTGTCACGGAAAATGATTACTTTTGATGATACATGTAAGTTTTTTTGCAAGAAAAACTTATTGTTTATTGTTTCAAATTATAGGTGAGCTCGGTTGGAGTTACTGGAGCTCGGGCATCTGTGAGTGACAAGGTTGAGTCCCTTCTAAAGCAAATTAAGGAGGTTTGTTTCCAATACTTGCCACCATTAGTTATAAAAAAATTACTTATATAATTGCTTTATTATTTGTTCTACAATATCTGCACCCTTCAAATTTCTATTTGAATTCCAAAAATTTTATTCTTTGACACTGCTTTTAGTGCATGGGAAACGGTTTTTTAGTGCTTTACTAACCTTGGGGGTAAAACTATGGCCTTACACTTGACTTTAAGCCTTCAGTGATTCATCTTTTGTGGGATTTGCTTTCTCGTACAAGAAAAAAGTAACAAATTCTGTGCTTAGTAGCCCTTTCCTTGAAATTTTCTATAGAAACTGGATAAAGGGTAGACATTTATCAATTGGATTTTGTTCCTGTAGCCTTTTTCTTAGAGATGAGAATAGAAGGCAACGGGCAAACAAGTAGCCTGTTTTTTATTCAAGGATGATGGAAGAAAGTAAATAAAGATATTCCCCAATTGGCATATCTTGTAAACATATCTAATAGTTAAATATGAGGAGATAAAGACCGTAAACATATACAGAAGAACCCTTATTTGGGACCTGTGGCGCTCTCAATGATTATTGTTTGTTATTTCTTATAATAATATTTTGCATGTTTTTTAAGTATCTGTTAATCTTTTTGTTGTTGTCATTGTCTTGTCAAAAATCATATAATTATTTTACAAATTTATTATATCTATACTAATTTATTTACTCACTATTTACATGTAGTTCCAACAAGTTGATTATGACAAAGCGGTTATTGATCTGGTGCGTTCAGAATGGGCCGATATTCTATCAAGTTATATAGAGTAGGTATGATTTGACGTTGTGATCATTTAGACTTGGTTCGTGGATCAGAATTGTTTTTTGTAGTATTATGACTTGGATGATGATTTGATTAGAATTGGTCATGCTCAGTATTTTGACTTGTTATTATGAACCTTGCTTAGCTTGTGCAATGTAACTACACTTGGCCATGGTGAATGGATAAATGCTTCTATTTTTTTTTATATGATTAAAATTTAAGCAGGTTAAAAACGAGTTGAGACAACGGTTAAAAGTTGTCTATTTTACAATGGACAACAGTTTGAAACTGTTGTCTTTTCTACAAAAGACAACAGTTTATGGGTGTAACTTTTAACAACAGCAATTTCAACAACACACAATAGATAACAGTTTATAACTGTTGTCTTTTAAAGAAAAGACAACAGTTAAAAACCATTGTCTATGTGCATCACTTTTAACAACACTAGTTTCAACAACATTGAATTGACAACGGGTCAAAAACCGTTGTCTTTGGAAGAAATGACAACGGTTTAAAACCGTTGTCTATGTTCGTGACTTTTAACAACACCAGTTTCAACAACACTTAATAGACAACGGTTAAAAAACCGTTGTCGTTTCTAGAAAAGACAACGGTTATTAACCGTTGTCTATGTGCGTGACATACAACAACACCGGCTTCAACAACACTTAATAGACAACGGTTAAAAAACTGTTGTTGTTTCTAGAAAAGACAACGGTTATTAACCGTTGTCTATGTGCGTGACTTACAACAACACTAGCTTCAACAACACTTAATAGACAACGGTTAAAAAACCGTTGTTGTTTCTAGAAAAGATAACGGTTATTAACCGTTGTCTATGTGTGTGACATATAACAACACCGGCTTCAACAACACTTAATAGACAACGGTTAAAAAACCGTTGTTGTTTCTAGAAAAGACAACGGTTATTAACCGTTGTCTATGTGCGTGACTTACAACAACACCGGCTTCAACAACACTTAATAGACAACGGTTAAAAAACAGTTGTTGTTTCTAGAAAAGACAACGGTTAAAAAACCGTTGTCTATGCGCGGGACTTACAACAACACCGGCTTCAACAACAGAAATTATACCCCTACGACAACGGTTATTAACCGTTGTCTATGCGCATTTTTCTTGTAGTGGCCATTCTATTGATGAAGATATCTGTTGCTTTTTGAATCAAGTTCTCTGATTTGTCATCATATTCCTACCATCTCTACAAGAGCAGCCTTGAAGAAGGCTATAACCTCTTGTCTTGCCTCCTCCACAGTTTGGACCATAGCTTCATCCTTATTTCCTTTTGCTTTAGCTATTAACTTGTAACACCCCAATTTTCATATCCAAAATTTCCTTAAAATTTTTTTCCTTAATTTACAATTTACTAAACTCATAGCGGAAGCATTAACTAATCAAAAAGAAAATGGGTGTTACCGTCACACTTAGGCAACCAACAACCTAAGTGCTAAGGTTAAATTTACAACTTGCAATAAACAACTCAAGATATGTACTAGTACAAAAATAACTAACAATTCAACTGTCTAACTAATAAATAATATCTCTAGGTGGTTCGCTCATTCTCATGCCCAATGCTCATGCAAGAGTTCCTGCAAAAACAATTAAAGAATAGAAAACAAAGAAACACACAAATTCAGCATTAAGCTTGTAAGATCTACTTCACCCCGTAAAACATTTTTGCACATAGCACATAGGAGCAGATAAGTGGCATATAATATAAACCCTTTAAACATTTAATCTTTTCTTATCAATAAAGCATAATCATACAGAAACATAACTCAAATATGAAATACTCAGAAATTCCAACAACCATAATTTCCCAACAATACTCACAATTTTTAATACCAAATCAATAGTTCTCACAATAGATATTTTAGGAACCTTTCAAAAGAAATATATTTTTTTCCAACATGGAGGAGCACCAATCTCAATGCAATGGGCAGGGTCTTGTTTCATCAAAGCCCTAGTGAGCAGTAATCACCATACTGAACACTACACAAAATCCCATTCAATCTCAAATAATGGGCAGGGTCTTAATGGGATTTTTGCGTAGTGTTCAGTAGAGTGAGTACTGTTCACTAGGGCTTATTGAAGAAGACCATGCCCATTATTTGGTTGGTTTAAATGGGATTTCTGCGTAGTGTTCAGTAAAGTTATTACTGTTCACTAGGGCATAAATAATTAAGACCCTGCACATTATTTGAGATTGAATGGGATTTTGTGTAGTGTCCAGTAGAGTGATTACTGTTCACTAGGACTTGATGAAACAAGACCCTGCCCATTGCATTGAGATTGGTGTTCCTCCATGATGGAAAAAAATATATTACTTTTGAAAGTTTCCTAAAATATCGATTGTGAGAACTACTGATTTGGTATTAAAAATTATGAGTATTGTTGGGAAATTGTGGTTGTTGGAAATTCTGAGTATTTCATATTTGAGTTATGTTGTATATGATTATGCTCTATTGATAAGAAAAGATTAAATGTTTAAAGGGTTGGGTTTATGTTATATGCCAATTATCTGCTCCTATGTGCTATGTGCAAAAATGTTTTACAGGGTGAAGTAGATCTTACAAACTTAATGCTGAATCTGTGTGTTTCTTTGTTTTCTATTCTTTAATTATTTTGCAGGTACATCTTGAATGACATTTGAAACATGAGAGCAATTTTCACCCATTTCGATT